AGCCCTGAAACCCATTTTTTTCTTTTTGAGACAATGTTTCGCTCTGTCACCCAGAGTGGAGTACAGTGGCGTGATCTCTGCTCTGTGCAACCTCCACCGCCTGGGTTCAACCAATTCTGCCTTAGCCTCCTGAGTAGCTTAGATTGCAGGCGTGTGCCACCATGCTAATTTTTGTATTTTAGTAGAGGCGAAGTTTCGCCATGCTTGCCAGGGTGGTCTCGAACTCCTGACATTGTGATCTGCCTGCCTCAGCCTCCCAAAGTGCTGAGATTGCTGGCATGAGCCACTGCACCCAGCCAAAACCCAACTTTTAGCATTTCACATGAGAGAGAATTCTTCTAGCTGATCCTGATTTCTTTTACGTGTTTTTCACGTTACTTTGTTATGACCATTTAGATTTAAAATTTGGCTTTAAAAATGAATAATTTTGGCCGGGTGTGGTGTCTCTCACCTGTAATCCCAGCAATTTGGGAGGCTGAGGGGGCAGATCACCTGAGGTTGGGAGTTCGAGATTAGCCTGACCAACATGGAGAAACCCATCTCTACTAAAAATATATAAACCAAGTATGGTGGCCAACGCCTGTGATCCCAGCTACTTGGGAGGCTGAGTCAGGAGAACTGATTGAACCCGGGAGGCAGAGATTGCAGTGCGCGGAGATCTCACCACTGCATTCCAGCCTGGGCGACAAGCACAAAACTATCTCAAAAAAAATAAAAATAAATAAAGTTCGATTATTTTTGTTCGAAACCTCTTGGGAGCTGAATGTGCACACCCTGCACATGTGTTGAAGGCCCAGCCCCTCGTGGCTGCATCTGGGGAGAGCCTTGAAGGGAGCGAGGGAGTGAACTGACAGGGCTGGGGCCTGGTCGCCGGATCCCCCACTTGGCTCCTAGACTCTGAGGAGAGGCCCCGAGGACTCGCCTACCACAGCTGAGTCGGGGGGCCTCGCCAGATGCCAGACCTTCTGGCGCCTTGACCTCGCACTTCCTAGTCTCCGGGTGATGAGGAGACTAATTTTCGGGATGAAGCCGCCCTGCCTGTGGCGATTTGTCGCATGCCGAGCCAAGAGGAAGCCTTAACGTCGGTTTGGATGTAACCTGTAGATTTAGTTCCTAGAAATGCACCATTAATAGGATGTACCATCTAGAGACTTGCAAAACACATAAAAAGGAGTATAGGGCTGGACACGGTGGCTCATGCCTGTAATCCCAGCACTTTGGGAGGCCGAGGCGGGTGGATCACGAGGTCAACAGATCGAGACCATCCTGGTCAACATGGTGAAACCCTGTCTCTACTAAAAATTACAAAAAATTAGCTGGGCACGGTGGCGCGTGCCTGTAATCCCAGCTACTCAGGAGGCTGAGGCAGGAGAATTGCCTGAACCCAGGGGGCGGAGGCTGCGGTGAGCCGAGATCGTGCCATTGCACTCCAGCCTGGGTAACAAGAGCGAAACTCCGTCTCAAAAAAAAAAAAAAAAAAAAAAAAGGAGTATAGGGTGGAAAACTATCCTCCAGAAGCCTCCGAAAGTCACAGGTAGCCTGACAGTCCACATGTCCGCATCCCCGGAGACTCTCCCGCGCGACTGCCAGGCGGGACTCACTGTGTGCTGCCCTGAGGGGTCTGTGCACCTGCAGCGTCGGCTCTCAATGGCTGAGCTCACAGCACCACCCTGGTGGCGCCTGCGAACATCGTCTCTGTGGGTGGCTGTGAGGGCATCTGTGAGGGGGGCTGTGAGCCATGAGGGCGGCTGTGAGGGCGGTTGTGAGAGCGGCTGCGAGCATGGCTGCGAGGACGGCTGTGAGGGCGGCTGCGAGGGGGGCTGTGAGCCGTGAGGGTGGCTGTGAGGGCATCTGTGAGGGGGGCTGTGAGCCGTGAGGGCGGCTGTGAGGGTGGCTGCGAGCCGTGAGGGCGGTTGTGAGAGCGGCTGCGAGCATGGCTGCGAGGACGGCTGTGAGGGCGGCTGCGAGGGCGGCTGCGAGGACGGCTGTGAGGGCGGCTGCGAGGGTGCTGGGAGCCACACGGCGGCTGTGAGGGCGTCTGTGAGGGTGGCTGCGAGCCACGAGGGTGGCTGTGTGGGGGGGCTGTGAGGGCGGCTGTGAGGGTGGCTGCGAGCCACGAGGGCTGCTGCGAGGCCGGCTGTGAGGGGGGCTGCGAGTCACGGCGGCGGCTGTGTGGGCATGCATGAGAGCGTCTGTCAGTGGTGTGTGTCAGTGGTGTCTGTGAGGGCGTCTGCGAGGGCGTCTGTGAAGGTGTGTGAGTGCTGTGTGTGAGTGCGTCTGTGGTGTGTATGAGGGCTTCTATGAGGACATCGGTGAGCGGCAGCTGTGAGCGCGTGTGTGAGGGTGTGTGTGTGGGCGTCTGTGAGCGCGCGATGTGTGCTTGTTATTCCTAAGGCTGTTGGCAGATGTCACCTGTGCCCCTACTCCGAGTCCCCCAACCCATACCCCTCTGTTTCTGTGGTTCGATCCTGTGGTCCTGTCAAGGACCACAGTGGAAAATCCATTCTCTTGCTGTGGGAAAATGTCTGCAGATCACACATCGCTCGGCACGTTCTGGGGGAGTTTTCATTCCCCCCGCACACAGCCCCAGTAGAGGGAGGCTTCTCCATGAAGCCTTAGCCGGCCTGAGCCGGACACTCAAGAAATCATTGAATTCATGATTCAAGTCTTCACCTTCTTTTGTTGTTGTTAAGTAGCAGCTTTGTTGAGAGATGATTCACACACCATTCACCAAAGTTTGTTATTCAGAGGTTTTTGGTATATTCATAGCATAGTGTAGCCATCAGCACAATCCATTTAGAACACTTTCCTCAGCTCAAAAGGAAACCCTGGACCACTTAGCTCTCACCTGAGACTCTTTCCCCAGCCCCTTTTGCAGCCACAAATCGCCTTTCTGTTTCTAGATTTGCCTGATAGTTAATGGAAATGAAGTGACATGTGGCCTTCTGTGTCTGGCTTTCTTCACTGAGTGTGTTTTCAAGGCTCCTCTGTGCGGGGGGCACTGTGTCAGGCTTTCATTCCTTTTCATGGCTGCATAATATTCAGTTGTGCGGATGGACCATATTGTATTTATTCATTCGTCCATCGATGGACTTGTCGGCAGTTCCACCTTTTGGCTGTTATGACTAGTGTGTTAGGAGAATCCTGGACGAGGTTTTGTGTGGGCTTGTGTTTTCATTTCTCTTAGGTATCTGCATGCCTGCACATGGAACTGCTGGGCCAACCTCCTCCTCCTCAAAGTGGCACCATCTTACTCTGTTAACAGCAAGGTTTTAGGGTAGTAATTTTTTTGCATCCTTGCCAACATTATCTGTTTGTGTGTGTGTGTGTGTGTGTTTTAAGATGTGGTCTTGCTCTGTTACCTAGACTGGAGTACAGTGGCTCTATCACAGCTAATCACAGCCTCAACCTCCCAGCTCGAGTGATCCTCCCACCTCAGCCTCCTGAGTACCCGGGACCACAGGCACGAGCCACCATGCTCAGCTAATTTTGTCTGATTTCATTTTATTTATTTATTTATTTTGAGATGGAGTCTCACTCTGTCACCCAGGCTGAAGTGCAGTGGCGCAATCTCGGTTCACTACAACCTCTGCCCCCCAGGTTTAAGCAATTCTCCTGCCTCAGCCTCCCAAGTAGCTGGGATTACAGGCGCCTGCCACACACCTGGCTAATTTTTGTATTTTTAGTAGATATAGGGTTTCACCATCTTGGCTGGCTGGTCTTGAATTCCTGACCCCATGATCTACCCATCTTGGGCTTCCAAAGTGCTGGGATTACAGGCATGAGCCAATGTGCCCAGCCAGTTTTGTTTTAATTTTTTGTCCTGCTGTGTTGCCCAGGCTGGTCTTAAACTCCTATCCTCAAGAGATCTTCCTGTCTCAGCCTCTGAAAATGTTGGGACCACAAGCGTGAGCCGTGGTGCCTCGCCTGGCGTTTAGTTTCCAGCCATCCTAGTGGGTTGCGGTGGAATTGCGCTGTGCTTTTCCTTTGCGCCTTCTTAGTGATTGGCGATATTGGCCATCTCTTCATGCACGTCTCAGCCATTTATATGCCTTCTTTGAACAAATATCTAGTCGGATTTTTTGTTCATTTTTATGTTGAGTTACAGTATTGATAGTTTTATTATCGGATATGTGAGTTGCAATTTTTTGTTTGTTTTAAGATGGAACCTTGCTCACTGTGTTGCCCAGGCTGGAGTGCAGTGGTGCGATCTCATCTCGCTGCAACTTCCACCTCCTGGGTTCAGGTGATTCTCCTGCTTTAGCCTCCTGAGTAGTTGGGATTACAGGTGTGCGCCACCACACCCATCTAATTTTTGTGTTTTTGGTAGAGATGAGGTTTCACCATGTTGGTCACGCCAGTCTTGAACTGATCTCAGGTAATTCACACACCTTGGGCTCTCAAAGTGCTGGGATTATAGGTGTGAGCCACCGCACCTGACATCATTTCTCGGTAGTGTCCTTTGAAGCACAGATGCTTTGATTTCGATGAGTCCAATTTATTTTGTTGCTCATGCTGTTGTTTTTGTGTCTTAAGAACCTATTGACAAGTCTGAGTTCATGCAGATTTTCTTCTATGAATTTTAGGGATTTAGCTTTCACATCATTGGTCCATTTTGAGCTTCTTTTCCAGATGGGAATACTGCAGCCCCAGGAGCTTCTGACTCTCGGGTCCTCGGCCCTAGAGCAGAGCCTGGAAGCAGGTCCACAGCCTCCCCAATCCAGGGAGGGCAACCCCATTGTTGTGAGTTGAGCCGCTCTCCAAAGCCTTGGCTGTGACTCCGCCGTTACCATGGGGCCTGGGTGGGCAGGAAAGGCCAGGCCGGGCCGGAGCTGCTGTGCTGTGGGGGCGGATGCCCGGCACCCAGGGTGGGCTGGACGTCATGCTGCTCCATAGCCCAGGCGAAGCTGGTCGAGTCCTTCTAAATTTGTCACCTGTCCCACTGGGAGAGTCTGGGAACCACCTGTGTGTCTTCTGACATGTGTCCCTTCTGTCCCCAGATACAGACCTGACCGTCACCGAAGCCAGCAGCTCCGACAGCCGAGGAGAGAGGCCGGAGCTCTATGCACAGGTTGAGGAGGGTCTCCTGGGAGGAGAAGCTAGCTATCTGGGCCCTCCCCTCACCCCAGAGAAGGATGACGCTCTGCACCAGGCCACAGCGGTGGCCAACCTGCGCGCAGCGCTCATGAGTAAGAACAGCCTGCTGTCGCTCAAGGCGGATGTGCTGGGGGACGACGGCTCGCTGCTGTTCGAGTACCTGCCCCGAGGGGCTCACTCACTGTCCCGTAAGTGCAGGCCCTGTGGGCCACCTGGCTTCATTGTGGGTGTGAAGGCTGAGAGTTGTGAGTCCCCGAGATGAGACGAGGCTGAGAGTCTCTCCCTGCTGCTTGGTCACCTCCTGGCCTCCCTGTGTCGGGAGGTGGGGGGCGTGTCACAGCCTGGATGGGACTCTGGGGTCCATGGAAAAAGTTGGCTCTATAGTGAGGAGAGAATGGATGTGGCCGTGAGGGTGGCAGGCAGGGGAACGGCTGAGCGCTTGGTGGAGTGTCTCTCACCTGAGGCGTTGGGCTGAATATATACACGTGGAGTTAACAGACCTGGAAACAGGAGCCTGTCCCTTGGTGGCAGCAGGCACAGTGCAGGATCTGGGGTCTTTGTGCTCCAGGGACGGGCTCGGGCGCCCCCTCCTGGCCACTCTGTCGCCTCTGTGCTGAGACGCGTTTAGCACAAGGGTGATGGGGCCGTGGAAGGGAGGTGGGTGCTGGTGGATGGGAGATGGGGTGCTGGTGGATGGGAGATGGGGCAGTGGAAGGGAGGTGGGGTGCTGGTGGAAGGGATATGGGGCGGTGGAAGGGAGCTGGGGTGGTGGTGGAAGGGAGATGGGGCGGTGGTGGAAGGGAGCTAGGACGGTGGTGGAAGGGAGATGGGGCGGTGGAAGGGAGGTGGGGCGGTGGTGAAAGGGAGATGGGGAAGGAAGATGGGGCGGTGGAAGGGAGGTGGGGTGATAGTGGAAGGGAGATGGGTGGTGGCTGCTGATCACACTGGAGGCCTCACCTCACATCACCTTCGCTGGGTAATGCAGGTGATGTGTGACTTTTAAAAGATGCGTTGGGCCGGGCGCAGTGGCTCACGCCTATAATCCCAGCACTTTGGGAGGCCGAAGATCATGAGGTCAAGAGATCGAGACCATCCTGGTCAACAAGGTGAAACCCCGTCTCTACTAAAAATACAAAAATTAGCTGGGCATGGTGGTGCACACCTGTAGTCCCAACTACTCAGGAGGCTGAGGCAGGAGAATTGCTTGAACCCAGAAGGCAGAGGCTGTGGTGAGCTGAGATCGTGCCATTGCACTTCAGTCTGGGTAACAACAGCGAAACTGCATCTCAAAAAAAAAAAAAAAAGATGTGTTGGATTTGTGTTTAAAGCATAAATGTCCCCAGCGGAACCCAAGTGATGACGCACCCGCCGAGATATGGCCAAAGGTTCTACCACTGCTGTTTCAGGCTCATCCCAGAATTACTGACTTCCTGGCAAGACAGGGGCATTTAGCTTTCAGAGTTAAAAAAAAAAAAAACAAAAAACAAACCCACCCCAGCCAGCTGCCTTCTGTTCCCGCACTCACATGGGCCCCTGGGTGAACCTGGCGCTGGCACTCAGCATGCGGGTAAGACTGAGTGAGGGAGTGAGGGTGAGTGAGGGAGTGAGGGTGAGTGAGGGGTGAGGGTGAGTGGAGGATGAGGGTGAGTCGGGGGTGAGACTGAGTGAGGGGTGAGGGCAACTGGGGGGTGAGGGCGAGTAAGGGGTGAGGGTGAGTGAGGGGTGAGGGTGAGGGGTGAGGGTGAGTGAGGGGTTGAGGGTGAGGGGTGAAGGTGAGTGAGAGTGAGGATGAAGTGAGGGTGAGGGTGAGTGGGAGTGAGACTGAGTGAGGGGTGAGGGTGAGTGGGGAGTGAGACTGAATGAGGGGTGAGGGTGAGTGAGGGAGTGAGGGTGAGTGAGGGGTGAGGGTGAGGGAGGGAGAGAGTGAGGGTGAGGGTGAGTGGGGGTGAGAGTGGGGGTGAGATTGAGTGAGGGGTGAGGGCGAGTGAGGGGTGAGGGTGAGTGAGGGGTGAGGGGGAGTGAGGGAGTGAGGGTGAGTGAGGGGTAAGGGTGCGTAGGGGTGAGGATGAGTGGGGGTGAGAGTGAGTGAGGGTGAGACTGAGGGGTGAGGGCGAGTGAGGGGGTGAGGGTGAATGGGGGGTGAGACTGAGTGAGGGGTGAGGGTGAGTGGGGGTGAGGGTGAGTGGGGGTGAGGGTGAGGGGTGAGGGTGAGTGAGGGAGGGTGAGTGAGGGGTGAGGGTGAGGGATGAGGGGTGAGGGTGAGGGGGTGAGGGTGTGTGGGGGTGAAGGTGAGTGAGGCCTCGTTTCTCTCGAGGGGAGGAGGCCCCTGGTTCGGGGCGTAGAGCCCCAGGGCTGTGTCCCCGGTGTGGTGGGTGCTGAGTGTATGCCTTGTTTCCCGAGTATTGAGTGAAGTGAGGGACGTGCCGGCTGCCGCTCGTGCTGGGGTTTGGGAAGTGAATCTGATTTTTTTTTAATCGGCACTGCCTTTAGATATCAAGTATCTGATTGTTTACGCTGCTCGACGGTAATTTCACAAGTTGGTTTTCACGAGCACTGAAATATTTTCCCGTTTTTGCATTGGTTCGAGTACAGACCAGACCTGTGTGGCTGATAAGACAGGCATGAAAGGCAGCGTTCACTGCCCCTTCATTCCTCGAGCTCCGTGATCAGCCATGGGGCTGGAGGGCATTGGCCCTGGAAGGGAGGCCTGGGCCGAGCTGGCACAGGCAGCATGTGCTGTGGGCGCTGGGCTTCACGGGCGTCCTGCGGCCTCACGTTCCACATCTGAAAAATGGGGCACGGGCACCCACTCACATAGCTGTTGTGAATTCTAACAAAATAGCGTTTCTAAAATATGGAACATGGTGCAGGCAGAGTGTGCTTGATTTATGCTTCAAAATGTTGGCCCCGTCCGTTCTCAAATGCAAAAGTGTTCTTGTCGGCAGAAATGGTTGGTATTGACCAAATCCCTGGGCCTTTTCAGGAGGCAGAGGCAGGGCACATGGGCTTCCCGCAGCCGGCCTGCCAGAGGGACCGCAGGGCACGTTTCGTGGGCGTTGGGAGGGACAGGCTGGTTGCGCCTTCCGTCCCTCCCCTCCACCGCCTTTCACCAAAGGGCTTCGGCGCTTTCTGTTTCCTCTGGGTGCTCTCAGATGGTCGTATACGCTCCTTCAGGGCAGGGACCCTCCATACACCCGGATACTGTGCAGCACCCCAGGTCTGGCTGGTTCATCTTGGTCATTAAGAATCACTCTGGGGGCCTGGGCAATGTGGCGACACCCTGTACCTACCAGAAATTAGCTGAGCATGATGATATGTGTGCCCATAGTCCCAGCTTCTCAGGAGGCTGAGGTGGGAGGGTTGCTTGAGCCTGGGAGGTTGAGGCTGCAGTGAGTCGTGATCATACCACTGCACTCCAGCCTGGGCAGCAGAGCAAGACCCTGTCTCAAAAAAAAAAAAAAAAAATGCCATTGGACTGAGGGGAAAGGATGTGTTTGTGCTTTTTTTGCTGTGTCTGTGCCCGACAGCTTCCCTTGGTGTGGCTCTGTCCATGAAGCCTTTGGGGATCTGTGTGTGCAGCCGATGGGTTGGAGGGCACGGAGGGCTTGCCGGGAGACATTGATTTCACTGCGGCAGCCAAGCAGCGTGACCTTAGGGAACACACACCCCACTTGGCCTTGGTGGCCCTGGCAGTTTTTCCCCTTCCTCCTCTGGGCTTCTCTGTTCTGGGGCCCCTTTCGGGAGGTAAGCCCTGAGCACATGGCGGGGTGGACGCGGGGCTGGGGACTTGCGTGGTTCTGGCTTCTTCCCTGCACTGAGAATGCTGTGTCCTCTGCATTCTGAGTGTGTCCTAAATCCTGAAGCTGGGGTGAGGGCACACTTGGCACTCCTGCGGCTTTATGTTTTTGGGTTTTTTGTTTGTTTGCTTTTTTAAGAGACAGAGTCTTGCTCTCTTCCCAGGCCAGAGTACAGAGGCGTGATCTCGGCTCACGGCAGCCTCCACCTCCCAGACTCCAGCAATTTTCCTGCCTCAGCCTCCCAAGTAGCTGGGACTACAGGTGTGTGCTCCCACAGCCCACTAATTTTTATATTTTTAGTAGAGATGGGGTTTCACCATGTTGGTCAGGCTGATCTCCAACTCCTGACCTCAGGTGATTCGCCCGCCTCGGACTCCCAAAGTGCTGGGATGACAGAGGTGAGCCACTGCGCCAGGCCCCATCTCAAATTTTAGTACATCTGTCACTAACTCCAGGTGAAGCTGGTTTCTGGGTCTTCTGTTATTTCTCTTATGTTCCAGCCTCATTTTTAATATTCTAAATTTTCCACTTCTCTTGTAAGAATTTGCCCTTTTGGGCCAGGCATGGTGGCTCACACCTATAATCCCAGCACTTTGGGAGGCTGAGGCGGGTGGATCACCTGACGTCAGGAGTTTGAGACCAGCCTGGCCAACATGAAACCCCATCTGTACTAAAAATACAAAAATTACCTGGGCGTGGTGGCCGGCACCTCTAATCTCAGCTACTTGGGAGGCCGAGGCAGGAAAATTGCTTGAACCCGGAGTAGGAGGTTGCAGTGAGCCGAGATTGTGCCACTGCACTCCAGCCTGGACAACAGGAGTAAAACTCAGTCCAAAAAAAAAGAACTTGCCCTTTTGTTTTTTGTAAATGCGGTTTACAAGTTGTTGGCATCCTTTGCTGGTCGGGTTGTGGACTGGATGACGGAGAGGCCGCAGCACTTGGTGGGGACACCTTGCGTCAAAACAGTTTTCTGGCATCCTGAGTGCCCCTGCCCACCTGTGGCTTGCACTGAAGTGGATGGAACAGCCCAGAAAATACCTGGATTTCCCAAAGTTCTGTGGTTGTCACTGGCTGCTGTAGGCATTCTGTCCCTAATGGTGGCCACGAGGAATCTGTTCAGAAGTAAACTGGGGACGCCAGCGCCTGCCCCCGGGGAAGCGTCGCCGAGGCAGCTCGCTGTTGGAGGTGGGGTCATGGCTTGCCTCTGGGAGGGCTGCCACGGGGGCTGTGTGGGGGCATCGCTGGCTCCGGGGAGGTCCTCAGAGTTAGTCATGCTCACTGGTACCTGGGTGTACACCGATGGGGGACAGAGCGGAGTGCCAGGGTCTGGTGCTGTTTGCTGATCAGAAGCGTTTTGCTGTCAACACCATGCAGGAACACCAGGCTGGGCA